CATATGTATTTTTTACTGTCAGAAGCAACTTTAGATTGTTATTTTTTAAGTTTACTATACTATACACTTACTATGATATGGTAATAATTTGTACTACCATAACCAAAAACAACATAAACAAAACACACTTCTGCTTCTTGCATGTTTGCATGTAGATCCTGCAGTACAGGAAATCAGATGGAGGGAGGAACCTTACCCAGACTCAGATTGCCCCTCCCTCTCTGAACACCTCACAGTCTGCCCTGCAGACACAGACAGCCAAGTTCACACACACAAGTGAAGAGGAAGACTTTTTTAACCATTAAATGCATGTGAGAATAAAAGATGTGTGGCTGCACACAGGCTGACCGAAGCATCTTTATAGTTGCGTCTCCTGTCGACCAATCAGTGCCCCTCCTCCCTTCCCTTCGGACAGACATGAACACTCCTCCTCTTCCTCCTCCCCCTCCTCCTCCTCTTCACATAAAGTAATAAAAACTGCTCTAAGCACACACTGTTCACTCCTACATCTACACCCTCCACCAGCGTCTCTGCTCCACTTTCTCCTCCTGATTCATCTTGCAAACTGTGAGTTCACTTCTTCTTCTTCCATTCAACATGCACGCGCCTCTCTCTTCATGCCCATTGATTTAACGCTTATCGTTAAAACACTGAGAAAACAGACGGTGCAGGATCTGGGCTGCACAGCTCGCGTTGTTGGATCTGTGACGTCCGTGTGGCCGCTTCAAGTTTGAAGTGATATGAACTCCAGATGTGCGCTCAGTGTCGGTTCATCCAGATTTGTTTGTTTTTTTTGTTCACTGGGCTCCTGCACAGCCAATGAAAGGAGGAGAATCAGAACTACACTGCAGGAAGCTCAGGTTTTATTATAGAGATAAACTGTGAACTGAGAATGAAGTTCTAGTAGTTTGGATGTTATGTAATAGTCAAAAAAAAGAAAGAAAGAGATGAGGTGGTCCAAAGAGTAAATGTGACTTCATGTGAAAGCAGCAGGAATGAGTCCTGGATTCTGTTCTCTTCTCTTCTCTTCTCTCCTCCCCTCTCCTCTCCTCTCCTCTCCTCTCCTCTCCTCTCCTCTCCTCTCCTCTCCTCTCCTCTTGTTATTCACAGATGCACATCTGACTCAAACACCATAGATCAGTCTCAGCAGATTACATGAAGTCTCTTCATTAGAGCTGCTCTTCCCAGCAGACAAATGTGCACTGGTCCCTCTAGACCTGCAAGTGTTGTCCTCACTGTTATGTTAGGGTGGAGTTTACAGGGGGGGTGGAGGGGTTGTAACCCCCCCCCCCCCTTAAAAAAAACAGAACCAGCCTGCCCCCCCTTACCCCAATAATCATACCATCACACTGAAAGAAGAATGTTAACTGTTTTAATATGGTCCTCTCGATTCAGTTGAATCTGCAATATGAACAAATTATGTGTGTATGTATTTTTCGCCCCTATTCTATTGTAGCTACAGCCACTAACTAGTGGGTTTATTCTGGCAAGTATGACGTATAAATAGTTATTGTTTCTAAGATATACAGAAAGATTATTCATTACTGAGTTATAACCATTTCAGAATTCTTAGTATTTGACCACAATAATCGACCCAAAGTAACGCCCTTGTGCATCAGCGTTATTAACAGTGCATGTGGCTCCAGACACTCAACGTTCTCTGAGTGTTCATCCATGATGCAGCATTTATTGATCATCCCGTTACAGGAAGTCCACTGAGTGTTTTCTCTCTGTGCAGTGAAACATGAGCTTCAATTTAACAAACAGCTGAACAAACAATCATTCTCGAACAGGTGCTGGTGATGTGTTTGTTGTATCTCTGTCCTGTCAGGTGGTAGCTGTGATGTAATATTTGAATATGTGTAAATAGTATACCCCTGCACAATAAGCAGGTGTAGCCTGTGGTTATAGCATGTGGATCACATGGTGTAAGTATATGGTGTGTAAGCTCTCGTGTGCTACAGTGGTGAGGAAGTTGAAATTGTCGTGGTGATCACAGCTGACGTCAACTCCGTCGTAATAATCCAGCTGCTGCCTCGATTTGTAATCTGGCTCTTGTGTAATCGGGGCAAACTGTAATCTGTATAATCTGGCAACCTTGGCAGAACAAACACTATCATCATAATCTAAAGTTTAATTTTTGTCATTTTTGTAAGCAAACCTTCCTTCACATTAAATGCTAAAGAGTCGTTCCAGTTCATGTGAAAACTTACACATCTCCAGAAATCAGCATGTGAACAATGTACAGCAGCAGACTAATTGTTGGTTTAAGAACTAGCTTGTCTGGTTCGGACAATACCCTGAATGTCTTAAATCATTCCTCCTGTCAAGAAGAGTTTCACGCAGCTGTTACCTTCAATCTACTGAAGCATTTGCTTTTCAGGAAAACACATCAAAAAAAGACATCTCACTTCAGTTAGAAGGGAGCGCACACCTCTGCCCGGGCTGTTCCCTTTATTACCATATTGCATCAGGTACATGCAGATCATTCAAAAACAAAAACAAAAATGTGACTTTTATGAAGTTTTTCACATGTAATACACATAATTTTCCTCTGGAGGATCCGCCCCTGGTCAGGATCAGCACCAAAGTTTAATGTTTTTTTTACCAAGTTTTGTGGTAATCCATCCAGTAGTTTTTGGGTAATCCTGCTGACTAACAAACAAACACTGATGAAAACACATCCTCAAATAGTTGTTTGCATATCTGTCTGCCCCTGTGCCCTTGGGTTTGGTTTGTATTGACAAGATTCTATTTGCAGCAACATTTACAAGGCAAAAACATTAAAACCACTCCCTGTCTTTTCCTGCCTCCCTCTGACCTCCTCTTTTTTATCCGAATTTCTCATCCTCCTTCTCCCTCTCTTCTCTCAGAGTCACCATGGTTTCTCATAAAGAGTTTGTGGGCGCCGGGAAGCAGCCGGGGCTGCAGGTTTGGCGTATCGAGAACCTGGACCTGAAGCCGGTTCCCAAGGCCCTGTACGGCAACTTCTACAGCGGGGATGCCTACCTGCTGCTCTTCACCACTGCCGCACCTTCCTACAACATACACATGTGGCTGGGTGAGACATGTACAATGTTGTAACACGTCAGAGCCCTCAACACATTCTAATCAGCCCCCATAGTATTTAAGATATCATCACTTGGTGTTATTGAACTAATCCTCTTTATCTGACTTGATAAAAAGGTTGCAGGTAAGGATGGCAAGGATGAAGCAAAATTATTCAGCTTTATTCGTCACTCCAATAATACACGTTACAGCGTACATGAGAGCAAAATGCCGTACTCCCCAGATAAGGGTGCAAGTCACTGACACATTATCCATGGTACATAAAAAGCTTCAAAAAATACAGATTTATGCATATCTCTTAGCGGACAGTATCTTAGTGCAGAAAACTCCCAAAATGCCACTTGTTTTATGTTCACATGGTGTTTGTTTAATTTTTGTTTTATGAGATCTTGCCAAAGCAAATTCACATTATGTAAATGGTGATAAAAAACCAAGTTGGTGAAAGTACAGTGTTGTTATCGGTTCCTTAATGAACTGTCGTGGCAATTCTGCAATCCCACTCTGACAATGAGGAACGAGACAAAAATCTCTTACGGTATTGTTACACTTTAATGCTCAGAGCATGGTGCACAAGACAAAGGTTAGTTTGTAATATGCTGCCGATGGGAAGCTGTTCTTTCTCTTTATACATTTGGCTCACTCCTCCCCCCTCGATGCCTTAGGCAATCAGGTCATACATTCTGCATGATCAACATGTTACCTTGGCCTTAAAGAACTTAAAGTGAAACAGTTTCTTCCTCCAAAGCTGATACACATACTGTGCATGCACATAGAATATATAAGTTTTAATATCCTTGCATTGCTAGTTAGACCCCATACAAACACACAAATGTGGATATGGTATGAGACAAAATCCATTTACAGACATGATCACCTGAAAATGTCAAGAAAATTGGGTCTGGAGATTTTTCAAGGTTTGCCTTTCACACATGAAGAATGCAGCAGGACAGTGTGTGGGGCAGACAACGTGAAAATGTGTGGAACACTCTTACAAGTGGTTTGGGTAGAAATGCTGGAGAGTATAAATTCTACGGCGCAGTGTTTTGTTTTCGTAGCACACTGAGCGTTGGCTCTTATCACCAAAAGCTCTTGACTTTTATAGTCTTTGCAAGTTGGCTTTGGCATTGGCACCTCATTTTTACCCTGAGATATTTGTATGCCTTCAGTTTGAAGTTTAAACTTTATGTGAAATCTCATGAGCATGCCCACTCACTTTCTGTGAGTTTTACAGACATTGTCCTGCTCTATTCACACATGGGCTCAATCTGAAATTTTCTGGATTCACTTTATTTGGGCAGGAAATGAATATGTTTGGACCTTTGGTCACTTCCTGTGACTCTGAACTGAAGGTAGATCAGATGAGGCCTCTGATCTAAGTGCAGAAACCTCTTATGCTGCTTTGAGTCGCAGAAATTTCCTTCTCTAAAACTCGTACCGCTTTGTGAAATTCCTCTCTCCAGAGAGTTCCCTCAGTTCAAGCCTGAACAGAGTGCACAGTGACACACTCCTTTGGATTGAAGGCAAAATATTTTTGTCAGGCACCATAGATTTTTGGTTACATAACAAAAACCAAGGCCTAAAGAAAACGCTATGACTCATATGGAATCACCCTGTAGGCCACAAGAAACAGGCACTGGTCCAACCATGTCTGTACTGTTCCCTGCCAGGTCTCCTCCTGTGGCAGCACACAAACGAGCACACGCACACACAAACAGGCCCTTTAGATCTGCTGCCACTGCAACCATCTGAAAGTTGTTAGACGAAAAATAAATGAGAGCATAATTAATCTTTGTGTCTGAGGTGGATGTTAGTCATGTAAATTATTGTGGAAACTATCTGTGTTGTGTGCCCTCTGACGGTAATAGCAGGGTACAAAGCAGCTCTGCAGATGTGGTTAATGTGATTCTCCAGATTCTCCAAGACTCCAGTCCTGACTCAGAGGTCCTTTAAGGCCACTGCAGAAATTACAAAGTGCTGCAGTTTGCTCTGCTCATGTCTGATAACTGTAACTGTAAAAAGGATTCAGCAACAGCGTTACTTGAGTGCAGATGTCTTGTTTCTGCAGGGAATGAGTGTTCTCAGGATGAGAGCGGATCGGCCGCCATCTTTGCCATGCAGCTGGATGACTTCCTGGGTGGGGCGCCAGTGCAGTACAGGGAGGTGCAGGACTGCGAATCCAACACCTTTCTGGGGTACTTCAAATCAGGCATCAAGTATCAGGTGAGTTATCTATCTATCTATCTATCTATCTATCTATCTATCTATCTATCTATCTATCTATCTATCTATCTATCTATCTATCTATCTA